CACACACATACAAACACACACACACACACACACAGAGATAACCACATACACACCCTTCCATGGATAGGTAAACCTGGACACACACTCTGGATGGACTCTGGTCTGGAATCAGCGGGGAGCTGTTCTCCTCGTCTGTCTGATCTGGGGTCAGTGCTCAGCAGATCTCCTCTATTGTTCTGCTGTAATTGTAGTTCGGTTTCTGAACACTGAGCTGCAGCTTTTTTATCTCGCTCCGCTTTTATCTGTGTGTGCTTCTCAGACTCTCAAACTACCAGATATTCTGGTACACGCACAACCTCTTCATCCTGTTTTACATCATTCTGATGGTGCACGTAGCGGGGTGAGTACATCTGTTTCCCTCACACACTTAACAAAATAAAGATTGTACAGAATATTAGCATTCATTTGGATGAGGTGACACGGTGGCTCAGTTGTTAGCATTAGCACTAGCATCTCACAGCGTTACAAGGTTGCTGGTTCGAGCCTTGGCTGGGTCAGTTGGCATTTCTGTGTGGAGTTTGCATGTTCTCCCTGTGTTGGTGTGGGGTTTCCTCCGTGTGCTCCGGTTTACCCCACAGTCCAAACACATGCAGTAGTTGAATTGGGTAGGCTATATTGTCCGTAGTGTATGAGTGTGTGAATGAGTGTGTATGGACGTTTCCCAGAGATGGGTTGCAACTGCATCCGCTGCGTAAAACATGTGCTGGATAAGTTGGCGGTTCATTCCGTTGTGGCGACCTCAGATTGATAAAGGGACGAAAAGAAGTCGAAAAGAAAATGAATGAATGAATGAATGAACCTTGACCAATTCCTCTTTATCCAATAGGGGAGCTTTAAAGTATCAGTCAAATGTGGAGACACACCCACCTGGCTGCATCCAAAACAATCTCAGTTCAGACTCCTGGACCAATCACAGAGCAGCAGTAGAGGAGCGGGCGGAGCTTTCAGACAGATCACAGACAGTCTGTCAAGAAGAGGCTTGTTTTCATCCTCATTTCCCTCAGGTCTGTCTTTTTGATTGCTCTTTGACTACTTCTTCCTAGATGTAAAATAAGTCTGAGATAATGTTTTATAACTCTCTGAAACTGACCCCTTTTAGGCATTGATCCTAATTGTGCGGGTTTGTTGACTGTCGCTTTAAATTCAAATGAGATTGTGCTCTTCTCAAAAGAGGGCGGAGCTACAAATGCCAGTGTGTCAGCATAGTGCCAGATTCAGAAACAAGACTAACCTACTATGCTCCTACTATGCTAATGAGGGAGAGATGGTCACTAGTGGGCGGGGCTTTCCTCCTCTGATGACACAAACAAAGGGAGAATGTCAGTCAAAGTGTTTCTGCAGACTGTTTTTAAGTGTGATTATAAAAAATATAAGGAATTGTAACCATTAGAAGCTGGTTATATTCACACACTGTTGCCACACAACTGTGTCAACCTCTTGTAAAAGTAATTTTTGCACAGTAGGCCCCCTTTAAGTCTTTTTGTGCGTGTGTGTGTGTGTATTTATCAGTTATTTTGTGTGTGTGTGTGTGTGTGTGTTTTAGACGTGGCTGTGGGTCTCTGCTCCTCTCTGCCTGTATTGTGCTGAACGCTTGTATCGCTTCATAAGAAGCAGCGTATCTCCTGTTGCCATAGTTTCTGTCATCAGTCATCAGTGTGATGTCATAGAATTGCGCATGTTGAAGAGTGGCTTTAAGCCCCGCCCTGGACAGGTGAGCCCCGTCTCCATATAACAGCATTAATTGTTGTTTAAAAAGTTTGTTTAGAAGTTAAAGGATAAATGCAATTTAAAAAAAACAAGATATTCTGCTCCTACTGTAAATTGTAGGCTTTTTACATAGCAGGTCATAATTTTATTTTATTTTTTTAAGAAATAAAAAGTTCTGTTCAGCAAGAAAGCATTAAGGCCTGTGCACACCGAGACGTTTTTTGCTCGCGTTTTCCGTCTACGTTTAACGCCTCATGACTAATTAAAGGGCGCAAATGTGATCGTGCACACCAACGTGCAAAACGGCAGGCGCAAAATCGGCATTTAAAGAAACGCCTCATGCTCTTTTTTTTGTTTTTTTTT